GAGAAGAGAGAGAAAGAGGACACACCGTTGACAAAAATGGCGTATCGCGGTGTGAAGGGATCCGATCCATTTGTGTCAAAAACTTCGCGAAATGAGCGCTTCGCGCAAATGTCAAAGCAAGAACAAATCATCCAACAAAAAAAATGGAGATTCAAGCGAAGATGCAAGAACAAAAAGCAAAGGAAGCTGTGGAGTGCATGAAAAAGTCAAGCTCATCAGCCTCGACTCCAACACCCAGCAAGAGCGCTGGTCCCAAGTAAGTTAAATAAATCTTTTTTTCTGTCATGTTATGTCAGTATCATCTTGATTTCCTAGAGATTTATACCTTAATTTATACATTTGTAATAATTGCTTCAATCACTTGAAGCCATCAAAAATGAAATTCATTTATATGTACAGGGAAGATGATGAGAAGCCTACTATGAATGTATTTGCCAATGATGGCACTTTCCTGGATAGATTTAAAAAGATAACGAATAAGACGACAAGTTCTGGTAAGCAAGAACAGGATAAGGAAGATAAAAGGAAGGACGAGAGAAGTTATGAAAGTGTTAGAGAAAGAGACAGAGAAAGGAAGCGCAGTAGCGACAGGAGTAGAGATTGGGATAGTAGACGCGATCGTAGGAGAAACGATACGCGATGGGGAAGAAGTTTAGATAGGAAGCGCAGTTCGTCGTCGAGTCCATCACCTACTAGGCGAAGATCGCCGCCTAGTCCAGAGACACGGCATAGCTATGGTCAATCACAGAATGGGCAGCGTGCACAGTTTAATCAGCAGTTTCCGATTCAAAACAATAACCATGTCTCTTCCATCCCGTCCCTCATGTCCCAGCCGGTGCAGATGCAAATAACGAATATACCACCACCAAATATAAGGAACTTGACCCCAAATGTTCCATCTGCGCATATACCAAGGATGCCAGCAGTGTCGAAAAATTTTAGCGATAATTACACTAACATAAATGAGCATTCTAACAACGTGAGAATGCAAATTGCACCGCCGCATATCATACGTCCTCCACCTCCTCTTCCACTCCAGAGCATTCCACCCAACACCAATGTTCCACCGCCAAACATGCAAATATCTCAACCTATACCGATACCTAATCTACCTTCGCCATCAAATGCACAACAGCATATTATACAGAATTCTCAACAGTGCAGTGTACCACCACCAGCGTGCAATGCCAGTTTACAACCTCCAAATATTCCTCCACCTAATATACCACCACCGAATATCTTGCCACCAATGACACAAATGCCACCGACCATGATGCCTATTACGGGCTCGCAAGCCATCGTGGTAACGGTACCAAACGTAGCCAATGTTCCACCTCCAAATGTGATAACATCCATGATAATGTCGGCGCCTCCGCCAGTGCATACCGTCCCGTCAACAATCAATTCGGTTCCACCACCAAACTTGAATATACCACCGCCAAACATCCCGCCTCCCAATGTCATTCCTAATGCAGCACCATCGCGCGGTCTAATATCCAGCGGCTATGCTCTTTCTAATCAGGTACCCATTTCGGTGGGCCCTCCTAATGTACAAATACCACCGCCCGTGAGACCGCCGGCCAATCTGCAAAGTTCCGAACAAGGTACAATATCACAGTTAAGAAATGCACTTCTTTTGTGTCACATAGTTGCATAATATTACTTATAAGACACTTTGTTTCATTTATTGCATAATTTAAATGTGGAATATTTTGCTGTAAGATACAGTATTAAAAATTACACGATGAACATGTACAATTATTTTTGTACTAATAAAATGTATGTATATACATATGTGTATATGTATATACATATTTAGGACATTATTATACAAAGTGTCTGACAAAGGATTCTAAGTGTGTTTAGTAGAGGCTGAGCAGCTGGCACGAATCGTAGCTGACTGTGGGGATGAGATTGAACAAGAAGTACGAGAGAAGAATGCCCAAGATCCTAAATTATGGTAACTACTGTCCTCACTGGTCCTCGTTTTGTATTTCCATTTCCCCGCTCCTCGTTTATAATATAATTAATACTTTTATAATATATATCTAGGACGATAATATTTTATTTTATATTATAGGACATTGTACAAATCTTTCATCATATAATTCTTGATATCTTAGTAATATAAAAAAAATTGAATGTACAATTTCGTTCGGTGTTTGCTTAATGTGAATTGTTGTAAATATGTGCTTGCATTTCGAAATATCGACTGCAAAGAGATTTGTCGATCATAGAAATTTGTCTACATGTTTCTTATATATTTATAAAACAAACTATTTTTAGCTTTGCTAAAGTTATTAATGATGATGTATGCATACTCATATTTTTGACATCTTTTCTTGTAATTACAATAACATATATATGTTTGACACATATCCCCATTAGCATGGAAAATTGTTTTTTTATAGACTTATTTAATGTTCTATTTTTATTAAAATAATATTTTTTATATATTTTTCAAAAGACATTTGTATGAAACTATAAAAATGTTACAAAAGATATGATCCGCGAAAAATTTCGAGACAAAACGTGCAATTATTTTTAAATTAAATTTTTATATTGTAAACATTTTTTGTAAAATCCTTTATTTTAACTATAATTTAACTATAATTTTAACTATAGTTTTTATATTCTATGTTTTAAGATTTTAATTTTACGTGATGTTATTTTTAATTGAGATCAAAAACAAAAAAAACATTACAGCATTTTATTGTATATTTCTGAAGTCACAATCACATCTTTTGAAGTATAATTATGTATATTTTTTTAAACTTGTACTTGTTTCTTGTTTTTGATATTTATGTATTATGTATTTTGAAACGCCAAACATATGAATACCATGCAATATCAATACGCTCAGTTTCCTTCAGAATCCAAGCAAAATTTTCAATTTTATTCTGCTATTTTTCACTTTACGTCTGTATTAACATTACACTTTTTCTATAAAAGTATTGTATCTATAGGAATACATATTACTAGACAGCGTTTTAAGTATCATTTTAATCAAGGTTTCTACATCAAAAGCAAAGTGCAGCGTATCTGCAGTACAGGGGATTGGTATCAAAATTACGTGCGGAGAAGCCAGACAAGGATAAGAAGAATAGTGGTGCGGAACTTTACTGTCCTGAGGAAGCTCTTAGTGACAATGATGAAGCGGATAAATCTCAGAAATCTCAAACAACTCCACACGGTGAATATAATCATATATACGATTCCAATGCTATTTAATAATAGTTTTTATCAATATACATGTTTTATATGCGCCTTTGTTTAACAGATCAGTCAAAGGATGATAACAAGGAAGAACGGAGAAGAAGAAAACGTAGTCGCTGGGGTGATCCAGATAATAAGATTCTCGTTACAGAAACAAATGTATCTTCTGCTAATAACAGATCAGGTACTATGCTTCCTCAACCTGGTATAGCCATACCGGGACAAATTGGGCAACCTGCAGTCATAATACCTTCTCCAACGAAAAGACAACAGACTAAATCAAAGAATCCAATGCTTACCAAGATTTCACGGAATGATCCTGCGCTTATTCATTATGCGAGACAGACTTTGGTA